GTGCGAAATTGATGAAATGCCTAAAAATTTAGATTTTTGGAATGTAAAGAGTCGATGAAAGTGAGTTTTAGGGAGAGATTTTGATGTATTTGGGATGGATTGGATGAGTTTAGATGAGAGGAGATTGATGGTAGAGAGAAAAATGTAGGGAAAGAGGCAAAATCGCGACCTTTAAAACTAAAAAAAGTTATACCGGACGTCCGCACTCGAGAGAATTAGCAGTTTTGACAGCAAGCTCGATAAGGAAGGTTGTTAATTTTCAATTAGATGTGTTTGATAGAAACATGAGATGATAGAATGGTTGTGATCTAAGAGGTTGGAATGATAGTGGTTGTGCTAATGGGAGACTGGCCGGGTTATCATGAAACTGGGCAAGGATAAGGCTTGATGGTGGTGAAGATTAGGTTGATGTCGAGAGGGAGGGGGAGAGAGAGTGTGTTATTCAATTTCAGACACAGGGACTATCGATTTATCATCAATAAATATCGAGCTCATTCTTTAGTGGGTTGGGTCAATTTCTGTTTCAATTTTTTTAAGTGTGTGTTTGATTGATACTATTGAGGAAATAATATATGTTAAATAGTGATGTGATGAGAAATATGTGGTTAAAAAGTAAGAAAAAGTTATTGATGTGATGGAAAATATTATTTTATTAAAAAATGTGAGGTTGAAAATGAGATTTGAAAGAATATATTTTAAAAGAATGTTAACAACTACATCCTCTGTGCGCACATCACTTGGCACGCCGCAATTCTCAATGTCCCAAAATATGGCAACAGGACCCTATAAGGAGCTTTGGATTTTCTGCGAGGAAGATTGACAAGAATTTATGTTTAAGTTTGACATGTGTTTCTGACTTATCTCCCAGTATCCTATGGAAGAAGTTGTATGTATATTTGACGTAACTGTTATGCAATACCCGACTTCCTAAATTTGAAGAAAATGGTGTAAATAATCTAAAATAAGTTGAATATTTAAAACGAAAGAAGATAGTACAGATTGCATATCAATTATGAATAGAACTCTTAGTTATATTACTAAACTAATTTAAATAGTACTAATCTAAAAACCTTTATCATGTATGGCAATGCGGCAAAATCACAACTCTAAAAAGTAAGATAATTTCCAGAAAATAGGGGCATTTTCTCTTTAACGTTTTCAAGTCGTTTTCTGTTTCGATTTTCCTGAAAATGTGTTCTATTATCTATTTTTGATATATATATATTTTTTTTAAAACAAGTTAAAATTTTACAAAGAAAACATTTGTCATTTTGGGTGTTTTCAATTATAATCAAACCAAAATTTTCAAAATACGTTTTGGGTGTTTTCAATCACTGCCAACCACCATCGCGACCCAACCATGAGTCAAGGCCAATTTTATCACTGATCAAACCTGATTTGAGGTGGTGGTAGCGGCTGTAGTGGCGAGGGGGTTTGAATTAGAGATTTCTTTAACCAACAGGAAGGTTGTAGGTAAAAGTGGTGATTGTGGTTAGTGATTCAGGTGAAGGTGGTGATTGTGGCGTCGATTGCAGCGACGGAGGAGATGAAGGTGGTGACGATGGGCTTCGTTGAGAGAGAGAGAGAGAGAGAGAGAGGGGAAAGTAAACGGGTTTTCCATTTTTTTATTTTTGAAATTAATTTTTCAAAATACCAAAAAGAACACATTTTCAACAATTTCAAAATGGACACTCAGAATACAAAATTCAAAATGAATTCAAAACTATAAACACAAAATTGAAATATAAAGAGAACAATCCCTAAGTTTTGTTAGTAAAAAGAGTAACTTTGAAACTCTTGTTTGGCAAAATAAGTTAAACATACTTTTAAGTACAATCAAACACAGACAATGCTACTAGAGGAAATATATACTTGAAGCTAGAATCTAGTTGATTCAATCAAAATCCCCATCCGGGAAAAAGTAGTGGCAAAAATAGAATTAAAAAGGTAAAAGCCTATTAGCATTGCTAAAAATAGAACTTGAATAGGGTTCTACATATCGCCAACAGCAAACAAGATTGGTAAAACAAGAAAATTGCTTTAAAATAGAATAAGACTAACCCTCAATAGATGAAAACATAAACCCAAGATTAATACGTAAAAAAAAAAAATTTAAATTGTTATCCTAATCTTCACATACTAGTACCGGACGAGAGGCCGTACACGAGACCTTCAGGGACGGGAAGATTTATTTTGCATAAAAATATATAGGGACCTTCAATTTAAGGATCTATACTCTATATTTAGCCTTTAGGGACAAGACTCAAGAGCACCGAGAGGAGAGTTGGAGATTGAGAAGCTGAGAGAGTGTGGATTTGGGAATTTCGTGGTTTCAATTTTTGCAGATACAGGTATAATTGGTTTTGGGTTAGGTCAATTTCTGTTTCAATTATTTTAAGTGTGTGCTTGATTGATATTATTGAGAAAATAATATATTTTAAATAGTAAAATGATGTGAAATATGTGGTTAAAAAGTAAGGAAAACTTATTGATGTGATAGAATATATTATTTTATTAAAGAATGTGTGGTTGAAAATGAGATTTGAAATAATATATTTTAAAAGAATGTGTACCAAATAAAGGCTAAATATAACTAAAAGCTAGGCGTTGGGTTAACTCTGCAAATCTTCAATCGTGACATCCTGAATATTTCGATCACGGTGTTGGACTTCCTCAATCGGAACTTGACCACGTCGACCACGACCTCCAGCCATTGAAACTGATGAAATCTCACCCAAGAAGAAGATGTTGAAGCTCTCATACCAACTGACGCCGTGCAGAATAGTGATTATTCTGTAGGCTAGTTCTACTAGCAAATTCATAGGGAAGAACACAAGATTAACGCTGAAAATACAGAGAAAAAGTCTCTGAAATTTAAAGAACTTTATTTCACGGTGTTGCACTTCCTCAATCGAAACCTGCCTACATCAACCACGACCTCCAACCATTGAAATTAATGAAATCTCACCCAGGAAAAAGATGTTGAAGCTCTGATACCAACTGATGCCAGTTAGAATAGTGATTATTCTGCAAACTGGTTCTATCATCAAATTCACGGGGAAGAACACACAAATATTGCTGAAAACACATAGAAAATGTATCTGAAGTTAAAAAAAACTTTATTATATCACGCAATCATCAAAAGAAGTCCACAAGCCGGACTTCATAGCAAAAATTCGAATTTTACCAAAAATGACAAAATTTTAAAAATCATGCCAAACAAAAATACGGAATAAAATAAGTAGTCTGTGAAAAATTTAGCCAAAATCGGGTTAAAAATTATCTTCTAACATGTAATCGAAATATTACCAAAATAGCAAAATTTAACTAAAAATAGCAATTCGGAAGGAAAAACAGTTGAATTTGAGGTTTAAAACGGCATACATCAAGCAAAGCTCTGTGGCCACGACATGCACACCAAAATAAGCTTTCCGGATTGTGGTCATAATCGTAATTCTAATAACCGTAACCAAAGTTATGGCCAAATTATCAAAACACGACTCAATTACCAAGGTTAGGTGATTACTTGTCATCTTTGCACCGATCTGTTAACTCGTGATACTTTAGAGTCATTAACGTATTATCTGACAATGCAGCATGTGACTCGGATCCTCCTGCATTAGCATGCCAACAACAAATGAGTGGTCGATAGTGGTAGTGGTGGTTGAGTGGGATGAAAAGTGTCTATAACCAATAAAATGGATAATTGTGACAATATATAATATGTGATCGATAAAATGGATAATTTGTGACGTAAAAATGTGTGATTGTGATTAAATTTGTAACCGTGACTTACAATTTGCGTCTTTGTAACTGTGATCTTATGCAATTTGTGACTATGACTGTAATTGTATGGCATTTATGACATTGACTTGTTATCAGATTGTCAAATGTGACCACCTGATTTTTGAAACTTTTTCACAAGTTTCTTATTTTTGAAAATGTATTTTGAAACCTTTATAATTACGTCATCTTCCCTAGGGGTGGGCAAAACCCGATCGAACCCGTCAAAACTGTCCAAAGAGAACCAACCCGACCAGTTTGTGTTGATTTTTTTGTTGTTTTTACACGGGTTGATTGGGTTGGTTGTGCAGGTAGGTAGGGTCGAGTTATGGGTTAACTCGAATAAATCCGTCCAACTCAACCCAATTATATTTATGAACTTTACAAGTGTTATGATATTGCTTGGAAACTCTTAGAATAATATTATAAGATTTGGATAGAATGCATTTTTTTTAAAAAATAGTATAAGCAAATACACATTTAATACAAAAATATTTTAATTGCCAAAAATATTTCTTGACTTCATATAATCTAATATCAATCTATCCATATAATATTTTCGGGCATAAAGTGTCAAAATAATTTAGATTTTTTTTGTTCATTATAACTATGGAGACCAAATATTATATAAGTGATGGGTCAATTATAAATTCGTTCAACCCGAACTGCCTACTTTAGTCTTTGTTGACAAATTGTCCCAACTCGATCAACTCAACCCGACCGATACTTGATTGGGTTGGGTTGTGTTTCAACATATACATGAGTTGAGTTGAGGTAAATTATGATCAAATCGATCATATTTAGTTAAGTTTGGATCAAGGCAAAAACCAACTCAATCCAATCCATACCCACCCCTACTCTTCCCATTTTAAAACATTGTAGTAAAAAGCTAAGTGGGATTCGTGTAATTATCAAAAGCTTGGTGGAGAAAAATACAATTATTGTAATCTTATCCCAAATGCATGCCACCAGTTACCCGCCAGGATTCTGTTACGACTCACCCCTATAATTTCGGCCATGAATCACTGTTTCCAACCCCATTCACAAGATCTCCGCCTCCCACGCTACTCCCTCGATTTGGCGCTGTAAAATAAGGTAATTTTTTCATTGGATTATTTTTTCGATGTTTTCATTTTCGGGGAGAGGTTTCTGATTGCATATTGAAAGTAAATCTGTAATGATTAGTTGATTGATGAATTTCTGTTTCAAATATTGTCATGGACTCGATCTGGACCCAAAATGACGTTGCAAGCGTTTCGCATTTTATTATCGCATTATACTTCACTTTCAGTTTCGTTGCTGCCAGATTCTTCCTTGATAAATTCATCTTTCGTGTAAGTTTATCGCTATCTTCTTTGGCATATATCAGTTAATGTATAGTTATCTCAAATTCTTATTGTAATAACGTCTGTTTGATTAGTGAAGTGCATTTTATGCAATATTGTTAAATAACTGCAGTTTTTTTCTTAGTCAATATTGACCAATTCCATCTCATCCAATCTACAAAACATGTCATAAGTTCTTTTGAGATTAAGTGAGCAATAATAGAGAGTTGATGAACCTATTGATTTGTGAGTTGGTGATTTTTTATAACAATGCACACGATTTGTTTGGGGGAAAGAATAAGAGAAGTGAGGCAGATTATCTCACAAATTTGTGTGTTTATGGCTTTTTCTTGGGTCGTGTTTTGGATGAATGACCTACGAATATAGAAGATAAGAATGGGAAGCATGCAGCCCTATGGAGTGCAGAACTTATGGTCAAGGTCTACGAATAAAATGTCAAGAACACAGTGCAAGACTCAGTATATAAGAGAATAATCCTTGTATCAAGAAAATAGGATATCAAATAATCACTATCCAACTAGAACAGTTGATCTAGTGTAGGGAAAAAAAAAAGAGCCAACTGCAAAAACACCAGAATAAGAGAAATTAGTGTGAAGTAAAAAACCATGGGATCTGAGTTCTAACATAACTTTTCCTGTAAACTATTAGGATACACAGATATGGCCTTTGCGATCTGCACCAGAGATCAACAAGCTAACAATGGGACATCAAATGGCACTACTTGGATTAGAAAACAAAACATGGTCATAATAGGTAAAAAGAAACAATCTCATCAAGTGAATTACTTTTAAAGATGAGAGTAAAAAGACCCATGTGGGCAGGGACTGACCCACACGGAGTCATGTGGGGGTGAAATGATCCCACAATTTTTTTTTCCAGGAAATAGTTATTTAAACCCCTTTACGACCTACTTTGTTGCATTTTTTATGGGATGTCACGTTAATGACGTGCGAAGCGACCAACCGTAACAAAAGTTACGATGTATCGAATAGGTCGTTCTAAACTAATATTTCAATAATTTCGACAATATGCTAACTTTCAAAATTCATCGATGATTGTATACTATTCGAATCCACAAATCGCTTACGTCATCTAGAAGCGCGTTTCGAAAATTACATCATAGTCATATTGCATGGTCTAAATGAATATCGAAAATAGTTAAATATGTGTCAAACGTATCTCTTAAAAGATGCATCTATCTCATCTTTTCTTTAACAAATTTCAATTGTTTCATTAACGTTTATTATTTTTGCACGGTAAATTTTTAATATAATTTAAACCATTTTATTAGAAAATTTTACATGAAATATGACTGCAAAAATTTTAGGATAGTTAGGTATTAAATGTAATTTTGAATTACTTTTGCATTCAATTTAAATTTCATTTACTTCATAGATTAAACGTGAAATTTATTTCAACTCATTTACTTCCTACATTCAATTTGATTTACTTGCCTTAGCTCAACATGTGTCAACTAAATAGTAAACAAAATTATACAACTAGCAAAATCCATTTAACAATATTAATAATGATATAATTATAAAACTTTTTCAAAGTATCAAAATGTGTATTAATTTATTTTTAAAAAAAATTATACTTTAATTTTTGAACCGCAACCCAAAATGTTTGGGTTTGCCCCTGGATGTTGGGGTCTTTCCAATGCCATAGCTTCTCCAACTGGCTTGTTCCGTTGTGTCCCAGAAAATACAATGCTCTGGTGACGTAAAAGAAACCAATGAGAAGTGTAAAGACAAAAGATTATGATGACAAATTTGGTCTGCAGAGTTTTTTTTTTTCCCTCTTCGATTAAAATCTTTCCTCGCCTAATTGTTTGCTTCTATTCTAGAGGCTAGCTGTCTGTTTGCTGCGTTGTAGAACCAGTCTGCCAAAAATTAATGAGGCTACAAGAGCAAAGATTGAGAAAATTTCTGAGTCTATGTGGAAGCTTACATACTATGCTTCTGTTGAGTTTTGCATTTTAAGAGTTACTTACCACGAGCCATGGTTCAGAGATATAAAGGAGTACTTCAGAGGCTGGCCTAATCAAGAACTGAAGTAAGTGATACATTTGTTCAGTATTATCCTAATAATATAAACAAGGATTTCCTTGTTGAATTGCTTGTCTTAGAGTAATACGGACTTGCTAGAGATTTATGCGAGGTTCAGTTTGAAAGCATTACTTGTAAATTGAGCGTTAATTTGATGAGAGTTCAAGTCTTAGAATTTTCACATTCTCAGCACTCTAAATGATAAAGAACACAGGATCTTGTCCAATTGCTTGCCATGTCAGATTTCCCCCCTTCTTTTCCCTTACGAGGTGGTGGGTATGGACACTTGGCAATCCGGGTTCATACTCGTGTATATATTCTTTTTACTTATCTTTGTAGGTCTGAAAAACATTTTCCTTCCCTTTGAGCTCTGAAATTCCATAGGTAAAGGCTGGCAAACGGTGTTTGGTCCCCCTTGAAATATGTGTTATGTGCCTACGACATACAAAACAATGAGGTGCACTAATATTTTGTCTGAACTGTTGATTTGCTAGAATGATGTGTGGATAGTTGATGCATTATGCTCAATAAAAGTTAGGATGGGTTGTGGGATATCTCGGTTCTGTTGTTGACTGATTATATAAATATTGGGTTAAAGAGATTATTCCAGTGTTGGTTAAATACTTTATTGGGAATATACCTGTACTCATTCATTTCACTTACATGCCTGAAAGGCTGCAAAACTTCAATTTTGCATGCCTTCAATGCATCCTCGTGAATTGTTATAGTTCTGTATATCTAAAATTATCCGCTGAATGGTTTATTGCAGGCCTCCTTTAAAGTTCATTTATATGTGCCAATGTGGTTTCTACATCTACAGCATTGCTGCCCTCCTTATCTGGGAAACACGGCGAAAGGATTTCTCTGTAATGATGTCTCATCACGTAATCACTGTTATCCTTATTGGGTACTCATTTATTACAAGGTACTTTTCGCTTCATCTGCTACTTAAAAATTGTTGGGGTACTTATGATAAGAATGCAACTCGAAATAAGATAAGGTGCAGTTATAAATTAAGGCTCTCAAAAAAATATAATTTACGATAAGGTGCATTGTTGAGGGCCCTGAACTTCCTGTCAGGGTCTTTAGGAAATATTGCATCATTTACATTCATTTATATTTATTGTGCAAGAGATTCTCAGGAGGATTGGGATCGCATTTCTTATAGAATAACCCCCTTAAAAAGAACGTCCACATATATTATGTGTGCTTTATTGCTTTCCCATGGATCAGTGCACCTATGCCCATTTCTCACAATATGCTATTTTGGATAAGGGAAGTGCATTGAAGTGTTTTTATCAAAGTATTATTGGAAAATGTTTCTCCTTCTCAATATAGTCTTTCACTTCTAGGTGCAAAAAGAAACTTATTTGTGAGAAAGGGAGCAAATTCTTAGCATTTATAGAACAGAATATTCATTTCTCTGATAGTCAATTATCAAAGTGTCTGATGCAGATCACAGCCTCAGTGCACTCATGGCCTGTTCGTTGGGTTTTATTACATAGTTGTTATTTCACTTTTCCTTTAATACTCGATGAACTATGAAATATGCAGAAACCCGTTGAGCTATGTTGGCTCCCAATCATTCTGTTATTCTTTATCTTTGAGATTGGCTCGCAGAAGCCAAATCTCCTTCTTGGTTCAGATTTGAGCCTTGTTCTAGACTCCTATGTTAGTGTCTCAATCCTATTCCAGCTTTAGAATTAAAATACTTTGGTACAATTATTAAAAATCAATATAGCTGTCTTTTACATAGTTTGTTGAATTTCATAGAACTGAGTAAGATCCTTGGTACTCTTGATAAATATAATAGTCATTACAGTTTGTTGGTCCTCTGTTTTGATAATTGAGAAATCGTTCAACCTCTTTCTTTGTATTATATTTCTTGTCAAAATCCAAGGTGACTGGCACAACAATGCTCAAAGTATCACATACCTTCTTAGTATATATGGAGTTTACGTGTTATATATTCATGGATACATATGAAAAACGAAATAAAAATGTTTAGCCTATTATTGGTTATGGATAAATATGAATTACAAAATAAAAAAGTTCAGCCTAGTATTGGTTATCTGGGTATTGGTTTCAAGCTTCATCATTTTCCTAATGATTTGTTATATTACATCTCATTTAAATTTCCTTTCTCTGATTACATCTCGTTTCCCTTGCTAATGGTCTAATGCTGAAGATCATCAGGCAAAGTGCTGCTAAGAACAAATTCATAAATTTTATTGGCCTTCACCAGCCAAAGGGCTGAGAAATATTAAACTCTGTTGCTAACTTTTAGAGATATTTGTTTTATTACTTGATTCGAACTCTTCACTATATTTGTTGAGGTATTGTTAATTGCTTTAATCAATTCAGTCCTGTACAATTTTGCCTCTGGACATTGAATAGAGTGTTAAAGACCCCTCACAGGTAGGGACTATAAGCTATGATTGCTGTCTGCGAAAAATTAACTGGAATTTAGGACTAAAATTTATTCTTTCTTTTTTCCGCTCGGATTCTGATATAAATAGCTTTTTTTTCATCCTACCACCTAAATCACTTACCAAAAGAGATTACAGTTAAGGGTGTCATATGAGTTATCCCACTTATCTTACCACCATAATTCATGCTCCCACTCAAGTAGAACGATAATAAATGCAGTTAAAAGATATATTTAAACAACATAGTGAAGTATAACTGTATAAATGTTCATTTTACATAGGTTCTTTCGGATAGGAGCAGTTGTTCTTGCGCTGCATGATGCGAGTGATGTATTTCTGGAAGCTGCTAAAGTTTTTAAATATTCCGAGAAAGAGCTTGGAGCTAGTTTGTGCTTTGGATTATTTGCTATGTCATGGTTTGTACTAAGGCTCGTGTTCTTTCCATTTTGGGTTATACGGTCCTCAAGGTTGGCCCCAATTAATTCTTATTTCACAAATATCATATTTAGTCTCTTTTCTATAATCGATTTTCCTTTGTTGCCATTCACAGCTACTACTTGTGTGAATGCTTGAACCTGTTGGAGCCACATGACATGACATTATACTATGTCTTCAACACAATGTTGTTGACCTTGTTTGTTTTCCACATTTACTGGTGGATTCTCATATCCGCGATGATCTCAAGACAGCTCAAAAATAGAGGAAAAGTTGGAGAAGATATAAGATCAGGTATGGATCTATATTTTTCTTTCAAAATTTATGCTTGATGGTTTACTTGCTGTCAAATAAGTAAAATACTTATTAGGATGTGAGGATGCTTGTGTGCAAGTGGTTGGGAAATCTGCTTATTTTTGTCACTCGGTAACACATTGAAAAAAAGACATCATTACTAAAATTTATTCATTTCTTCATTAAGAAAAAGTTTATCTGGTCGTAACTTTTTCCCCCCCGAAGAAATCCTTTTGTAGTTGCTAAGTTTTATTGATTTCATCACTTTTTTTTCTTCTTCTTCAAAAATGCTCATATCGACATCTACCAACAATTCGCAGATTCAGAGGATGACGAGTAATTGGAACATGATCATGCTCGGAAAATTTGTTTTGGCCTGTATATTCGGCTCTGGGGAATAATTGGTTGATTTGAGTGTAGAGTTGAAATAGGTGATTCTCTCTCGTGGTATACATACATAAAATTGGGTAGGAGTATATAGCTTTTAACATTGTAAATGATCTTTTCACCCACTGTATACACAACATATTCTTTTTGCTACTGCTTTAACAGAAATGAATCCAAAAAATGTATTTATTTATTGAAAAATAAAAATGCTATGTCATCTCATATCTCAAAATAAACAGCTGATAGGTACTAAAGAACACAAGTGAAGCATTATTCCAAAACAGTAAATAATAATTCAATAGGGTTCACACTGCATATACAGAGACATTATGTGAAATTAATCCAAGGACTAATTCATCTTCTCATTCCAGAAGTTATAATTGGAGCTACTGTAACTCCGCGCTGTTGCCTATCCATGTTGGCTTCCCAACCTTCAATTTCATCAACCAAACATACATATAAGTAGGTACATTTACTTATAACTAAATGAGTAAGTTTTAAACGATTAAGTTTAAAATATTTCGACTGTAAAAACATAATATATTTTGATGGGAGATAAAAAAAATTTCATACCTATTCCCATATCAAATCCACGGCTATGAAGCTCTCTGTATTCTTGACAAAGTGCACATGTTTCACAGCAAAAATGCACAAGGCAATCCACACAAGGTGATTCTTCCAAGTCATATTGGCCCCTCAGTTTAGATCGATAGAAACAAGAGTATAAGCATGCAAAACCAGTCAGAAGAAGCAGTGCATATTTCGTCCCACTTTCTGCACAAGCTGCAATGTCACAACCACATGAATCATCCTAAATGAAGAGATTGGGCAACATTTGAACGAGGTTTTGAGATAAGTGCATATTGGAATAGTATTTTTTTGAAGATGTAAAGTTTTGAATTTACGTGTAACATTATTTTATTGAAAAAATGTGTGGGTAAAAATAAGAAAGAGAAAATGTATTAAAATTAAGAGAAATGATTCAAGTACAGGGAATTTTACCAGAATTGGATCAGATTTTTGAATTCCAACTCACATGTAGTGGACCCCATATATAAAATATTGAAAAAAAAAA